GCCGCCGCGCAAGGCCGGCCCCGGCCCCCGTCCCAAGGTCTCCGCCCCCAAGGTCAGCCACCTGGGCGCGGAGGGAGGAATCAAGTCTGTTGTACCAGACACCAGACCTTGAGAATATGCTGATCTGGAATGGCTCTGTGCCTCATTTGAACCATCAAATAGAATCCCTGCTCCTAGCTTGCGCCTTTTTCCCTATATAAGGACGCCTTTCCCTTGGGGCGGGCGCGCTTAGCCACACAGAAGCTAAGTCGCCCCAGGTACCTGCGTCTCCAATAAAGCCTCTTGTTTTTTTGCATCCAGTTCGTGGCCTCGCTGATTCCTGGGTGTGTGGGTCTCCCTCTACGAAAGTGCCTCTTCGGGGTCTTTCATCATAATATAACCAAATAATACAATAATTTAGAAGAGATAAAATATAATTGGAGGGACGTGACAGGCGCAGGGTCCCCTCCGTGCTGTTGCTGCAGCTGCCGGGCCTCTCGAGTGGGTGGACGCGTCCTCCCGCTGGCCTCAGCTGCTTCGTGACATGGCGGCCCCTGGCTCCCGGTGGTCGCTGCTCCTGTTGCGGTTGGCAGGCCTTGCACACGGTACCTCAGCATTGTTTGTGGTGAAAGACAGCAATGGCACAGCTTGTACAATGGCCAGCTTCTCTGCCTCCTTCTTCACCATCTATGAGACTGGACATGGTTCTCAGAACTCAACCTTTGAACTGCCGTCCTCTGCAGAAGTACTGATCAGCAACAGTTCTTGTGGTAGAGAAAATGCTTCTGAACCCATCCTCACAATTGCTTTTGGAAGTGGATATTTATTGACGCTCAATTTCACAAGAAATGCAACACGTTACCGTGTCCAGCACATGTATTTTGCTTATAACTTGTCAGACACTCAACATTTCCTGAATGCCAGCGACAAGGGGATCCACTCTGTGGACTCCTCAACTGACATCAAGGCAGACATCAGCAAAACATACCGGTGTTTGAGTGCTCTCCAGGTCCACATGGGCAATGTGACCATCACGCTCAGTGATGCCACTATCCAGGCCTACCTGTCGAATAGCAACTTCAGCAAGGAAGAGACACGCTGCACGCAGGATGGACCTTCCCCGACCACTGTGCCGCCTAGCCCCTCACCACCACGTGTGCCCACAAACCCCATTGTGATTAAGTACAGTGTGACTGGTGAAGATGGAACCTGCCTGCTTGCCTCTATGACCCTGCAGATGAACGTGAAGGACAACATGACTGTGACCAGAGCATTGAACATCAGCCCAAATGACACAGCTAGTGGGAGCTGCAGGCCTCATGTGGTGATCTTGACAGTGGAGAGCAGAAACAGTATCCTGGATTTGAAGTTTGGGATGAATGGCAGTTCTAGCCTGTTTTTCCTACAAGAAGTCCAGTTGAACATGACTCTTCTCGATGCCAATGTGTCGTCACTCATCACCTCCAACCAATCACTGAGAGCTCTTCAGGCCACGGTCGGGAACTCCTACAAGTGCAACACCGAGGAGCACATCTATGTCACCAAGGAGTTTTCCCTCAATGTCTTCAGCGTTCAGGTCCAGGCTTTCAAGGTTGAAAGTGACAGGTTTGGGTCTGTGGAAGAGTGTATGCAGGATGGTAACAACATACTGAGCCCCATTGCTGTGGGTGGTGCCCTGGCAGGGCTCGTCCTCAACCTCCTTATCGCCTACCTCATCAGCAGGAAGAGGAGTCATGCCGGCTACCAGACCTTCTAGCCAGTGGACTGGCAGGTGCGCTGTGCCAGACGCACAGAGGCCTGTTCTTATGTCCCCGAGCTTAGATAGGTGTAGAAGGGAGGCACACTTTCTAGCAAACTGTTTTGAAATCTGCTTTATCAGATGTTCATCTTGGAACATCTACTATGCACAAAGGAATAACTATTGAAATGACAGTGTTAATTTTGCTAACTGGCTTAAATATTTTGCTAACTGATTAAATGTTAATGTTACCAAAGTAGAGCTCTAAGGAGGGCAAGAAGGCTGTCAGAATCGCACGGCTCCTCCATTTGACTTTTTTTAAGACTTGGTGTTTGGTTTCTTCATTCTGTTACTCAATTTAAGCCTTACCAAGGGATTCTCTGGCCTGACACTTGGGCGTGGTAAGGGCGGCTGATCTTTAGGCTGCACACTGAAGATGCTAGAAGGGAAGAGCAGGGAAGCCCTGTACAGAGGCATTCACAGGGGCAACCTCTGGACAGGTTTAGGCTGCCTGGCCTGGGGACAGGAATCTGGCATCTGGCTAGACACAACCACCAGTGTTTCTGTGCTCTGCCACCCGTGAGCTGGTACTTTCCGAAATAGAAAAAGGCATTATTTTTATTTACTTTTTGTAAAGTGATTTCCAGTCTTCTGTTGGTGTTGAGGGTGGCCCGGTTTCTGCACTGTGTACAATAAAAGATTCACACTGCTGACCTGTCCTGTAGCATAGGTGGGTTGTACACTGAGGACCAGCTCACATAATGCATTGCCTGTAACGATGCTAATAAAAAGTATCCTTCTTTGGAGAGGCTGTAGAAATGGTTCAGTAGTTAAGAACATTTGCTGTTCTTAACGATGACAAGAATTTGTTTTCCAGAATTGCCTCAACTGGTGATGTTGTTTAAATAAAAATGGTTCCTATACATAGGCTCATAGTGAGTGACACTATTATGAGGTGCGGCCTCATAGGAGTAGGTGTGGTCCTGTGAGTGGGCTTTGAGGTTTCAGAAGCTCAACCCTGGTCCAGTGGCTCACTCCCTCTTCCTGCTTCCTTCAGATCCAGATGTAGAACTCTCAGCTACCTTCCACCATGAAGACAATGGGCAAACCTTCTAAACTGTAATCAGCCTCAGTTAAATGCTTTCCTTTATAACAGTTGCCATGGCCTTGGCATTTCTTCACAGTAATAGACTCCCTAAGACAAATAGCTTATCACAGTTCCAAAGGATCATTCACCTTCTTCTGGCTTGTGTGGGCACTAGCACACATATAAAATAAACTCACAGAGACAAACAGATAAACACTAAATGACAATAAAGTAAATCTAAACAATAAACTGGCTGAGGGTGTGGCTCAGTGGTAGAGTGCTTACCTAGGATGTGAAAAGCTCTGGGGTTCATTTCCAGGAAAACAACAACAGCAAAGAAAAAGATCACTGATACAAGCAATCACATATATGAATTTCTCAGATATCCAGTAATATGATATGACTAAATTTAGTTGAAATTCAAGGACAAACATATACGTCCTAGTTTATAAATTCTGATTAGCAGAAATAAACTAAGTGGGTGGATACAACTTATCTGCTTAAAGGAAAACCAATATTCTATGTCTCCTACCTGTAGTCCTTATGCAGAAATAAATTATCTAGCTGTCCTACTTCTGAGTATATACTAGGAATGTAGTTTTCACACAACAGTGAGACTTTATCACCCGAGTATGTGTGGTATATTTACAACAGTCCAGTTATGGAGAGAGCCTGGATTTCTATCAACCAGTGAATTATTGAAATAAATAAAAGGGAAACTTTTCTTTGCAATAGATGGAGATTCTTACTGAAAAATGAAACCACTAAGAATCCAGAGCTGTAGAGGCCAGTCACAAATGATCCATCTGTAATAAAAACTTCTATATCCAAGTCTTAGGTAGGAATCATTGCAGAATAAGGGCCCTTATTATATGGACCAAAGAAACAGAAAGTTTTCTGTGAGATGTACCTCCTAGGAACCTTAAAAGCAACATCCATAAAGCCTCACCATCATGACTGCTCAAACATGAGCTGAACAAGAATGACAGTAGACATGTTAATGTGGACTAAGAAAAGTCAAGGAGGCCTCCACCCTGCACAGGGAATTGTTGGCAAAGAAAGAATGCTGAGAGCAGAAGAAATAATCTTCCCTAAGAAGAATACAACAATTGATTTTTTAAATACCAAATGGTCAGCCCTGGAAAAAAACAAACTGATAAGGATTATGTAAGTATATACATGTGCACTTGTACCAAAAATAAATAAAAAATAAGCCATGAATTTGAAAGAGGAAAAAGAGTATATGTGAGGGTCTGGACAGTGGAAATAATGCAATTATAGTACAATCTCAAAAAGTAAAAGAAATTCAAAATGTCAAAAAGAAGAAAATTTTAGCCAAAACCAGGTTATACACACACAAACAGTAGCACTTTTTTTTCAATCATAAACTAGAACAACATCTTTACAGAAGGATGATTATTAAAACTTAAACAAAGCATGCCAGACCAAAAGGCAAATAGGTCCTGTTTTCTCTCATTTGCAGAGCAGAAGTTGTGGAGGGGGGTGGAAGAAGAAGTGAAGGGTGAAAATCAAAGTGTTAATATTTGGAAACAAAAATGGGACCAACATGGAGTATGAGGGACAAGTGAGAGCAATGGAGTGGGCAAACATGACCCAAACACCTAATACCCATTGAAAAAATGTCATAATTAAATGCATTGTTTAGTATAATGCACCTGAAGGGTGATAAGGAGGAAACGTGTGATTTATCTATAAGGAAAATTTTACACTTCAGATGTGTGGACTACAGGTGTTTATGTGACAACTATCATTTTGAAAAAATTTTAATATATTTAACCATGTTGTCACCTTTGCTTAAAAGCGATATAACTTCTCTTCACTCTATCAAAATTAAATATGTCCCTTTGTCAATTGTAATTTATATTTTCTAAATCCTTAAGTCATTAAAAATTCATACTATGATAGCTAATGTAGCTATTGATAATATGCTGTCAATTTCAAGAGGCTATCAGCATCTTAATAAAGATAATTAAATGGAATCTATATTGTGGACATTGAAAAGTACTTTCTATTTATTAGGGATATTAAATATGTTTTTTCTAGCATGTATGTGTGAATTTAGCAGGTTAAGAAAACAAACTGTTAGAAGGCAAGTATCTGTAGTTCACCAAGTTTCAGCTCATCTGTATTTATTCACAGTGCATTTCTATACAGATTTGGCAATGCAAATATAATTTTTATGACCACAAAACATAATGAGATTGAAGCTCCTATGGAAAGTTATCTAACAAAGAAACCCTACATCTGAATATTATTGAGCAATTTTATCAAATTTTTAAAGTAGAAACTATTTCCAATGCTCCTCACATTATTCAATGTTATAGGAAAGAAATGAACCCTTTTAATATCTTTCTATAATAAATGCATAATTTTTTAAAAACAGTTTGGACACAAATACTCTGCACAGGTGAGCTGTAATTTCTCACAAAACATGGAGTGTTAAATTAAAATCTCTGTGTCAGGTATTTGATTCCTTCCTATCAGCCATTGGCCAGAGAGGCTCCAAAATCTCCCTTAAGCAACACAGCAACCCTGTCATTAGTCTTGTTTATGCACTGTTACTAAATACTAGGACTGCATTGCTGAAAATTCCACTCACTGGATTTGGAACCTAGACAAGTCAACCTACAACTACCCTTTAAATTTACTTTTTATGGCTAGCTTTCATGGCTTTGATAGGACTGTGCATGCTTCCAAGAGACAAAGGTCATCAATAGTATTATCAGGCATTAAACCCTATTTGCTCTAATACCAATCTGCCAGGTAAAATATATCCATTGCTGAAATAGTGGCGTGTACATTATGGGCTTTAAAACAATCTTCGGATTGAATCTAAGACCTGCTTTGCATGAGGGAATTAATGCCTGGACTATAAACTTGGTCAAAAGTCCATGGGTCAGAGAGGTCTTATGCTGGAGTGTGGGGAGACTTATCCCTATTGTCTTGCTAAACAGACATGTTATCAAACTGCCTTCTAAATATTTATGTTTCCACTCAGAGTAGTGCTGCCCTCAACTTAGGTCACAGAAACTTCCCTCTGCAGTCTAGCAGTTAATTCAGAGACTCATAACTGGTGTTAAGAACAAATGACTAGCAATTCCACTCTTAGGCATATTTACCCAGAAGATGCACATTCATACAACAGGGACATCTGTTCAACTATGTTGATAGCAGCACTATTTGTAATAGCCAGAACCTGGAAGCAACCTAGATGCCCCTAAACTGAAGAATGGATGGAGAAAATGTGGAACATTTACACAATGGAGTACTACTCAGCAGAAAAAAACAATGGAATCTTGAAATTCACAGGCAAATGAGTGGAACTAGAGGAAACCATTCTTAGCAGGTTAACCCAGTCACAGAAAGACAAATATGGTATATGCTCACTCATATATGGATTTTAGACATAGAGCAAACGATTACCAGACTACAATCCACATTGCCAGAAAAGCTAGAAAACAAGGAGGACTCTAAGAGAGACATACATAATCCCCTTAGAAGGAGAACGGGACAAGATCTCCTGAGCAAATTGGGAGCATGGGGGAAGGGGAGAGGGAGATAGGAGAATGAGAAGGGGAAAAGAGGAGGGGCGAGGAGGACATGAGGGAGCAGGAAGATTGAGTTGGGGGAAGAATAGAGGAGAGCAAGAAAAGAGATGCCATAATAGAGGGAGCCATTATAGGTTTGAAGAGAAATCAGGCACTCAGGAAATATGCCGAGATCTACAAGGATGACTCCAACTAAGAATCTAAGCAATAGTGGAGAAGCTACCTTAAATCCCTTCCCCAATAATGAGATTAATAACTACGTTGTGTGCCACCCTAGAGCTTTCATCCAGTAGCTGATGGAAGCAGATGCATACACCCACAGCTAAACACTGAACTGAACTCCTGGAATGCAGTTGCAGAGA